AAGCAAAGTTTATCTGCACACTGGGTCCTGGCAGTGCAACTTCAGGGCTGCAGGAAAGGGTTTCAGTAGATGATTTTTCTCTTATTAGTTGTTTCCCAGATGGATTATGTTTCCTTTTTTGTTCCTTTTTCATTTTTTCTAATCAGAAGTGGAAACAGGCTCCACAAATTACATTTCCATGCTGTTTAATATGTTGGTGATTGCACACCATCATATGAATGCAGTCATGGCATTGCAGAGCTAACTACACAAACTGATAAATCAGTTAGATATTCATCTTCCTCTATCCCAGGCCGGCTGCCTCTGAACCAGGGAGAGCCTTGAAGTCAGATAGCTAATCAGAATGAGGATGTGTGTCTCTCGGGCTGAAGCTGGCTGGTGGATACAGAGCTGGCAGGGTGGATGCTGCAGACTCACAGCTCTGTGAGCTCTGTGCACCCAACAGTGTTCAACACCAGTGGCCGGTGTTGAACCTTTCCTGCCACAGTCCCCAGAGATTTTTTAAAGGCTGCCTTTGCCTTCAGTCCTTGTGACACAATGAACCTCCAGCACAGGCTACCAAGAAAGATGTATTTGGTCTGTTCGTACAGTTTGATGAGACTCTGTCCTCTACTGAAAACAAAACAAGGGGTCCTAAGCACCGAGTTTCTGCCTGACTGTAATATCTATGGTCATCATTGTTATCCAGATTACCAAAAAGTCCTTGTTTCCCTACTGTATCAGGTATCTGGAGTGGAGAATGTTAGCATTGATGGTATCAGATCCAGAGGGGAAGATCCCATGTAACCAGTGCTCCCTGCTTTACCCTGTCTCTCCCCTTCCTGCCCTGCTCCATTTAACATCTTGAAAATGCCCTTTGTTTTAGCCTCAGGACGGGTATCGCATCGTTCAGCACCTGCAGTACATTGGCTGGCCAGCATACAGGGACACCCCTCCTTCCAAGCGCTCCCTCCTGAAGGTGGTCAGAAGGTTGGAGAAGTGGCAGGAACAGTACGATGGGAGAGACGGACGGACCGTTGTCCACTGCCTGTAAGTAGGACTGGAGAACGTCTGTAACCTCACGAACCCTGTCTGAAGAGCACTGATTGTGGATCTGGAAATTCGGTGGTTTGCCAGGCTTCAGCTGGGGAAAATGAAGTTAAATTACATTTGTAATAATACACTTCAAGATGAATATTGTGCTACATTAGAGCATCCTGGCCCAGAGATTTTACTGATTGTGGTGAGGAGCAGCTGAAAAAACTCTGCTGCTTTCTGTTGTGTATGTAGGTCTCATGACTGGAGCCCAGACACAACCGAAGCAGCACTGCCACGTGTCCTGCTGGCCACAGAGCTGCTGTGAGCGGGAGGGGCAGAACTGCCGACCCTGGGGCTTCCCTGTCCCGCACCACTGCCAGCAATCAGCTTAGCCCATCCATCCCTGTCCCCTGCCCTGCAGGTCTCCACTTTCACGAACTCTTAAACATCCTTAACCAGTCCCTACGTTACAGACCTTTCTTAGTGCAGCCTTCCAGTACTTAAAGGGCCTACAGGAAAGCTGGAGAGGGGCTTTTGACGAGGGTGTGTAGTAATAAGACAAGGGAAATGGCTTTAAACTGAAAGAGGGGAGATTTAGATTAGATATAAGGAAGAAATTCTTCACTCAGAGGGTGGTGAGGCACTGGACCAGGTTTCCCAGAGAAGCTGTGGCTGCCCCATCCCTGGAAGTGTTCAAGGCCAGGTTGGATGAGGCTTTGAGCAACCTGGTGTAGTGGAAAGTGTCCCTGCCCATGGCAGAGGGGTTGGAACTAGATGATCTTTGAGGTCCCTTCCAACCCAGACCATTCTGTGTGGTGTGTGAGCCGCTGTGTACGCAGAGGTCTCCTCCCTTCCTTCAGCCTGACCTCGCTTCACCTGTTGCCTCTCTGCTTCTGCTCCCAGGAACGGTGGGGGACGCAGCGGCACCTTCTGCGCCATCTGCAGCGTCTGTGAAATGATTCAACAGCAAAACATCATCGATGTGTTCCACATAGTGAAAACGTTACGGAATAACAAATCCAACATGGTGGAGTCACTGGTAAGCTTCTTTTCCTGTGCCTTACCCCACCCAGCGTATGCAGGGGGACTTCAGGATAAGTTAAAAAATGTCATGGCTTAGCCTGGTATGAATCAAAACAAATCATAACATGAAGCCATCAGAATTAAAATCAGTCCCATTTTAGCATGTGCAATGAGTGCTTTGGTCCTGCTTGCTTCTCTCCTTGAGCAGAAGGGGAAGAGCTGTGCTGGCAGTGTGGTGAACGCTCTCTCCCACACCCAGATGCCTCCAGGAGGTTAAACCTGAAGTCGCTGTCACCGTGGCTGTGGGGAGGGAGTGGGATTCATCCTCCTGTGCATGCCTACAGCCCGGTGCTCAATGCTGTGACATGCCTTGAAGCCAGGAAGGGAGAGCAGTCCGACCCGCAGGCCTTGCTCCCTGCGACCAAAGAGAATAAACTGTCCTGAATTCCATCATCTCGGTCGATCGCACTGAATTCTTTCCTCAAAAGCAAGATGTGCAAGGAGAGCTCGAAGCAAATAATGAACAGTCCATACTGTGGCTGGCTCTTTGAGGGTTTTGCTATTCCGTTGACAACACCATCTCTTAGTGATGCTCCTTCAGGATCACATAGGAATGCAATTAATGTTTGCCTGGTTTTACCAAACAGTATGAGAAAGAGGGAAGAGGCATTTTTCGGCAGCTTGTAGAATGAGATGCTGAAGAATTTACCCGTATCCTAATGCCCCTGATTTCTGTTCTCTCTTTCAGGAGCAGTATAAATTTGTATACGAGGTTGCACTGGAATACTTGAGTTCCTTTTAGCCCAGCGGAGGGAGGGGAGCCTCCGAAGTGCCGGACCCTGATCTCTGGCAGACGCTTCTCTCCTCTCCCACACCGGAAGGCAGTACCAGTGTGGGAAGGAAAACCTCTCCTTCCCGGAGCAAGAGACTGAGATTGCACAGACCTCGCTGGAAGGAGGAGACGATGCCTGTGTTTGCTGCTGCCTGCTTTCTATCGGAACATCTACTGCTTCTTGAATAACCTTCTGTAAAAATTAGCAAAATGGGAGACAGGCTGAAAGACTGGACTTTCTAATCCCCTCTGACTTCTTCTCTCCTCTTCTCTTTTGGATTGTATTTTTGCTCTCTTTGCTGCAGAGTGGGGAAGGAATGAAACCCTTAGGAAATTCTCTTTTAAACATCTCCGTTTTAATTTATGATTTTATTCTCAAATCCCAGTCTTTAATTTTTTAATTTTATACAGCAGTCATTTGGGAAAAATGAGATAGCCATAGGGAATGTATGAAATGTGTCATGACAATTTGTCTATCTTATCTGTTTCCTTTTTTTTGTTTTTCCAAATGAAAAGGCCAACACAAAAACCCAAACAAACACTGGAATTCTCTTCCCATGTTTAGTCCCTTTTAGAATGAAAGCAGATGATGGAGATGAGAAGCTGTTCATGGATTCACTGCCTCGGCTTCTACACAAACGTTTCCTCCCAGTTTCTGCTAGGCTCCCAAGGCTGTGCATGAACCAGATACATCTCTCTGGTCTGTGTTCGTTTCAGTACTGGTGAAACAAGACTATTAATGGGTTTCCCAGCCACTTGAACCTTGAGGTTAAATATTTGCATCAAACAAATTGCATTTGTCTTGCAACTTTGGTAACTTTGTTACCATATTTTTCAAGTATTTGCTGGGGTGCAGTGTGTCTTTGAGAAACAGGGTATAAAGTAGGTATTACTGATCATATACTATGTATTATTATTTTTTATTTATTATTCGTCTTGCTGTAGAACTTAGGACCCCTAGTCATTGCTGAACTAGGCACTGTGCAAATAGAGAACAAAGAAGGTTCCTGCTCAAGAGCTTAAAATCTGAAGGTAATCTTAAAACTGGGTTTGGTCAAGATTTCCTTGCTATTTCCAAACTGTCGTACAGTCAGATGTAGTTGAGTGATTTATTCAGATTTTCAGGCCCTACAAGCTTCGAAATGGTAACCCATCCAAGCTGTAGGAAAGGTGATGTACATACATAGAAACTTGTTCGGACATGTGTTAAGAAAAGCGTTAGACCAGCACAGCAACTTTCCTTCTTAAGCAAAACAACTTTTGCTTTGTTCTGCAAAAATGCCTGTGCAACCCTCCTTCTTTGAAACAAGCACCAGATGTATTTTGCCATGGTTCTGGATCTCACTCTGACTTCTTAGCAACTAAGAAATTGCTTTTCTGAAAGAGTATGTTTAAGTTGCTAATCATTAAGGTCTGCAGGGTAATCTTGAAGAAAAAATAATTGAATGAACAAGGCCTTAAAGTCTTCAGTATTTCAATTTAGCCATTTATTTATCTTGAGGGAGACGAGGTTGCTCTGTGTGTAAATTAGATTCTGGGAGATGTAGGTTTCTTCAAATATAGACTTGCTAAAAGGTAGACTGAAGGTAAGAGTTCAAGGAAACTCCACTTTCTTACCACCCTATAGTTTTCCACCCTCAGGTAAATACTCAGAGACTGTGCTGGGAGCTCTGTCATGTCAGTGCCTGGCATGGAGCATGCCAGAAGTTCAAAACATTTTGCTAATTCTCTATGTAAATTCAAAAGGCACCTCTGCTTCGTGGTCATTCTTTTTTCAATAGTCATACCTTTGCCTTGACAATGAAGGATGGAAATGAAATCTAATAAAAGCAGCTCTCAACTCAAACATACGAGTATCTTACCCAGTAGTTATCATCTCTACCAAGACCTGCAACAGTCTGAAGAAGGGTGCTTGGAAGAGCAATCA